ATGTTTTGTTTTTCTAATTCTTTATTTTTTTCTTGTAATTTAGTATTAATTTGATTCAATTGATTATTTTTTTGTTCTATTTCTTTATTTTTATTTTTTAATTCGCTTAATTGATTATTGATATTTGTGTTTTGTTTTTCTAAATCTTTAATTTTATTTTCAGATTTTTTATTTGTTTCTGTAATTGATTATTGGTTTGGTTTAATTTTTCAATTTTACTAGTTATGTAATTTTCAGTGATTTGAAGTTGATTTATTAAATTTTGATGATAACCTGTAGTTGAAAAGCCAGATTGTTTTCCATCATGTACATATAATCAGATTGTTTTGCCATTTGGATAATCTTTACAAACTCCTTGTCGAGGATTACCAACACCTTGAACAGTACCAACATCACGTGATTCATGTACTGTAATACGAATACCTAAATTTTTAAAAATATAACTCATTTTATAAATAAAAATTATCTGATATGATAATTTATTAATTTATTCGTTTATAAATATTTTTTTTCTAATGGCTTCTTTTATATTTACAAGATTTTGATACTCATTATTTTCTAGATATTTTATATCAAGTACATCACATATTGATTTGATGATTTCTTTTTGATTTGTTAAATTATTTGTGTCGTTATTTGGTATTAAAGCGTTATATATCCTTAGTAAATTATTATTCAAATCTATGCTTAGCATTGTACAAATTTCTGTTATCAACATATCGATCTTTTTTTGCTCCTCATTCAATTTCTTGAACAAATCGAATCGAATTCTTGTCTTAGTGATTTCACTTCTTTTTTGTACAAATTTTTAATTAAATTAACCTCTTCTTTCAATAATTTTATTTCTTGTTCAACAGGATCGTGTATCGAACCTTTTCTATAAACACGTAATACATATTCATAATAATTTTGTGTTTCGTTTATGTAATCTAAATTAGAATAAGAATTTTTGTTTATATTTTGAAGAATGTCTAAAATAATTTCTTTGTTTTGTATTGCTCCGTCATGAGCTACTGTTAATAATACCTTTGTACCACCTTTTTTCCAAATCATATCATTAGAAGATGTTTCACTACTTCCATAAAAATAAGATATTGACATCAATTGATATTTTATAGAATTGTTAATATATCTACTATGAAAAATTTTACAAATTCGATATGGAAAATACATTTCATTTAATTTTGTTATAGGATTCTGAGTTTCATACCCATCATCATCCCTATTCTTTTTTTTATTTTCTATTAAATATGAAAAATATCTTTGGATTTCTTTAATATAATTGGTATTGGTATATTTATTTACTCCTCTGTTTGTTAAATAATCATAGGCTTTTTTGTTTTTCTTTTCATAATCAATAGGTTGGTTATGAATAACAACATCTCCTAAATGATTTCATGTTACTATATCTTTTGAAACATTAATATTACCTTCATTCTTGTAATAATTTATTATTAATTCTTAATATTTTTTCAGATTGGTAGTTAAATATGATTTACAAATATAATGTAATTTATGTACAAATAACATGTTTGAAAAATTAACTAATAGATTTTCTATTGAATAATTCATCTTTCAATCGATAGAAAAACTATTTCTTGTCGAGGTTCTTTTTGATCGGGTTTTACTTCACTATTTGATTCTTTAATTTTCAAATAATCACAATACTCATTTACGGTATCAAAAAAGCTTTTTAAATAATTTTTTTTATATTTATCATTAAAAAAAATCATAATAACCATTAGAATATTTAAATTTATTAATATGATATAGTAATGAAGTTTGAAAAATTCTATCTAAATTTTTATCAGGTGTTTTGCTATTCCATAAATCCATTAACATATCTTGAAATAAAGATTTTTCATATTTGCTATTATTAACCCATCTTAAAAAATATATCCTTTCCACATGTGTCATTT